CTCCCCCTGGAGAATAGGGGCCCATTCTGCTCCCTGACACCATCTACCAGCCCAGGAGGACACTTGTCCTGAGGACAAGCCGTCTTCCCACTAAAGACTGAGGCAAAGGAGAAATTAAGCACTTCCACCTTCTCCTCATCTGCAGTTACTAAGATCCCTCCCCCATCCAACAGAGAACAACAGTTGGTCTTATCCCTCTTTTTGCCCTATATATATTTGTAAAAATATTTTTTATTATCCTTTACAAAAGTTGCCAAATTAAGTTCTAAGTGAGGCTTGACCTCTCTAATTTTTTCCTACATGCCCTACCAACCCCCTTAAATACTTCCTGAGAGACCTGACCCTCTTTCCAAAGCTGAAACATCCTTTTTTAATTCCTAAGTTCCTTCAAAATCTTGCTGCCCATCCAGGCTGGACGTTTGCCTCATGGACGCAACTTTCAACACAGGGACAGTCTGTTCCTGTGCCCTCAAGATTTCTGGATTCCTTTGGTTTTAAGGGCTGCTTCCCAAAGAAATCTCTGAATAAGTCTCCTAAACAGGCCAAAGTCTGCCCTCTGTAAGTCCAGTGTAAAAGTCCTATTGATGTTCCTCCTCATTTCACCAAATTATTGAGAACTATAATTTCATGATCACTATGTCCCAAGCAGGCTCCAACCAGCCCATCTCCCACCAGCCCATCTCTCTTTGCAAACAACAGATCTAACACAGTCCCTCCCCTGGTGCATTCACTCACCAGCTGTGACAAAAAGTTGTCCTCCATACACTCCAATAACTTCCTGGACTGCCTCTTTCCTGCTGTATAAAGCTCCCAGCAGATGTCTGGTAGGTTAAAGTCACCCACAAGAACAAGGGCTGGTGACACTTCCTAAGCCTGTGGGATTCATGTGCTTCCCATGCTACAGGAGACCTGTGTGTTTAAGTGGATGGCAACAAACAGCTCAGGAAAAGGACTGCTGGACTGCAAGTGGAGAGAAGATTGAGGAAACCATTTATTCCCCTGGCCTTGCTTGGTGACAGGGACAAGCACCAGACACTGACAGTAGGAAGTTTCCTGCCCTGCAGTGCTGAATGACCCAAAGAAAGTATGAGGGAAGATTCTTATCTGGCTCCTCTGAATGGACAGCATTGCTTCAAAAGGCCCATGTGCACTTTTACAACCTACTCCTAGTTTAAGGCTCTTGTATCACGTATTTGTAGCTAATTTCAAACCAAAGAGGGATCAGCATGTGACACCAGGTTTGGTCAGCAAGAGCTAAAAATATTTGTGAGCCAAGAGCAAAGCGTGGCCAAGAGGCACTGGTGGTGTAACCTGACAGCAGCACAGGTCTCCAGTTACACAGCTTGTGTAACCGGAATCACAGAACGTTCTCCTGCGTGAGGGGAGTCTGACAGCGAAGCATTATGAAGGCCAGACTGCAAGTTCAGGGGGTTATTTGGAAGAGCAACTAATCCAGATGATGCATACAGGGAAAGGCAGCCCAGAAAAGGGAGCTCAGCACTCAGAGGGTTTGCTGGGCAGAGCACAGCTGCTGCAAAGCTGGTCAGTGCCAGCATGTGAGACCACAGCAGACCACGAACACTGGCAATCAATTAGTGAAGGGGTGAGTTTCCACCGCACCAAAAGATAACCCCCATGACTCACATAAAACTGCATGGACTGCACTGCACAAGAGTACAAATGAGCAAGACACTCAACCCTGGAAATACACTCACAGACAGATCTGCAGACCTAAGCTGGAGCCGCTCCCTCCCACTGGCAGAACACCCTCACAGCCACACACGCACCCTTATCCTTATCACAACCCACATGGCTTCCTAACATAGTGTTCACATCCATCAGGTGTGAGCACTTCTCACCTCACCGAGGGGCAGGTCATGCTCTGACTCTTTCAGGAAATCAATATCTCTGGACGAGATGATCCCAACCAGCTTGCCCCCCATCTTCCCATTGTCCGTGATGGGAATCCCACAAAATCCATGACGAGCTTTTGCTTCAAACACATCTCGCACTCGGTCATTGGGGCTCAGCACCACGGGGTCTGTGATGAATCCTTGCTCGTATTTCTGAAAGGAAGCAGATCCAGCAGCCAGGCTGAGTGGCTCTGCCAGGCCAGAGCGGAGTCAAGCACGTGCCTGCAGGTTACTGCAGCCACTCACACGGGTCTGCCATTACCCAGCCTAGCCACATGCTCACCAACAGGACGACTCTCAAACCAGAAACAAGGCTCACCCAAATAATGTTAAAATCAAAGAGCCTCCTGGCTAACCTCCTCCCTGAAATGATAGGAAACATTCCCACACCAGGAGTACTCAAGTCCCAGGCTGACCATAGACAGTGCCTGGCACATAACAAGAGGGCTGTGCCTGCAAACCCTGGCAGCACTACAGCTCTGAAACACGAAGATCGGGCACACGTCAGCAATCTCCCCACACAGCTCATTCAGCGAGGCCAGACCCGCTGCCCACCTCCACAGAGGCCCCCGTGGCAGCACGGCTCGGTGCCGCCGCTCCAGCCACTCACCTTCACCTTCCGCACCTCGTTGGCCTGGAACTCCGGGGTGCAGTTGTGGTGGATGAACCCAATCCCGCCGGTCAGCTGGGGACACAAAGGCGGCCGTGAGTCAGCGCGGACACCGCAGCGGGCGGCTGCAGCAGCGGGGCCGGCACCGATGGAGCACCGATGGGGCTGCGGGGAGCCCGGGGCGGCCCCGCGGAGCTCCGGCAGCGCTCCCTGCCCCGCCAGCCCGGCGAGGGCGGCACCGGGGACCCGCCCGCGGGGCGCACTCACCGCCATGGCGATGGCCATGCTGGCCTCGGTGACCGTGTCCATGGGCGAGGAGACCAGCGGGGTCTTCAGGGTGATTCTCTTGGTCAGCGCCGAGGTCAGGTCCTGGCGGGGAGGCAGGCGGCGCCGGCGGGTGAGCGGCGGCACCGGCGCAACCCCCGGCCCGGCCCCGGCCCGCTCCCCCGCCCCGGGCACTCACCACCTGGTCCGCCGTGAAGTCGATGTACCCCGGGAGGATGAGGAAATCGCTGCGGGGCAACGAGGGGAGACGCGTCAGCGACCGCGGCGACCCCGCGCCCCACGTCCCGGTCCCACCCCCGTGCCGGCCGCACTCACTTGTAGGTGAGCCCATCGCCGCAGCTGAAGAGCTGCTGCGCCGTCAGCCCGTCGTCGGGCACGTAGCCGGTGCCGCCGCTGATCAGGTAGTCCGCCATGGCCCCGCCGCGTGCCCGCCCCGCCGCACCTAGCGCACGCGCGCTCCGACGGCCGCCGGGAGGCCCCCGCTGGGCCCGCCCCGCCGCGGCGTGCGCAGAGCGGCTGCGGCAGCCGGCACCAAAGCGCCCCCTGGCGCCGCGGAGGGCCCCGAGCGCAGCGCAGCCCCCGCCCTGCCCTGCGCTGCGTCAGTCCGGGCCCGGTGCCGCTGTGCTGCCGCCGGTACTGCCGCCCGAGCAGCTTCTCAGCCCGGTGCCGGTGTGCTGCCGCCCGAGCAGCTTCTCAGCCCGGTGCCGGTGTGCTGCCGCCGGTACTGCCGCCCGAGCAGCTTCTCAGCCCGGTGCCGGTGTGCTGCCGCCCGACAGCTTCTCAGCCCGGTGCCGGTGTGCTGCCGCCGGCACTGCCGCCTGAGGAGCTTCTCAGCACCGAGCCCGCGTGTCTTCAGCCCGGTGACATCGGGTCATCGTGGCTGTTCTGAGCTCAGGCCCGTGTACCGGCAACAGGCGACAGGAGAGAGCTGAACTCCAGCGCAGCCCAATAGGCCCTGCGTGCCAGGCTCTGGCTTGGCTGGCACCAGCCCGTGGCACCAGTACAGTGTGATATCTGCTAGAAGACCACCTAAAAAAGCCCAGCTACGGGTGACATGGTGACATACACAGAGAGACACTGTGGGTTGGCAGCTAAGTCCAACACGAGGTACTCCCACAGCTTCAGAAGACAAGAATGGGCTTATTGGGCCAGTGGTGAATGCAGAGCTGGGACAAACCAGCAGAATCCAAACAATTTTGTAAATCGAAGTGAGGAAGGATGAAAGTCAAGAGGCAGCAGCAAGGCCAGTCTTGCACCTCGAGGGGGATGAGAGGCAGTGGTCTCACCAGAGAGGATCCAAGGTGATCCCAGCTAGGCATTAGCCCCCTCTTCCCAAAGCCACCAGGCCAGGTTGTAGAAACAAGCAGTGTGAAGAGGATAGCTGCACACTGGGGATGGGGGTGTAGCACCTTCAGATCTGTAGCACAGACTGGGGCTGGAGGGAGGATTTTGGAAAAGAGCAGTAGCAGGAGGACTGTGCCCAGAGGAGCAGAACAGGCACAAACACAGATCTGCCTCAGATGAGCCTTACACGACATAGCAGCTGCCTTTTTCCAGGATGAGATGTTCCCATCCCTGCAGTTCCATTTGAGCATCAGGAAAAGTTCCTGTTCCTGTACTGCAGGTTACTGAACAACTTCCTCCTCTTGGTTTACTTGTGATATTCCAGATTCAGCCTCAGAGCATGAGGGACATGAGATAACCACACCCCTTCTCACCTGCTCCCTGTAACACCCTGCCCAAGGCAACCCCCTGTCTAACACTAACTAGTTCAGGGACTAAAGTACAGTGGTCCTGTGCCTACAGCACCCTGCTGCAGAAGGTTAATTCCTTGTTCAGAGATCAGAAAGTAGCTCCAAGAAACGTGTTACTCATGTTACTACCCTGTAGGACACAGGAAACGTGAACAGAGATCGGAAAGCGCTGCCCGCCAAGGACATGCACTCTTGTCACAGGATCAGCACAACAGGAGGCATCATACCAGACCAAGATCAGTATGACAGGTCTCTCTACCCTTATTTAAAAAAAGAACAGGCTAACAAAGGTTCGCTGAGCCTACCTGGGAGGCACACACGGATCTGAGCTGTTGTGCTACGGGCACGGGCACAGCAGTAAACAGGCATGTTGGCTTCTGTTCCAACAGAAACATCAGGCAAAGTTTAATGGTTCTCAAACAGACTACAACAAAAGGCTGCAGGGAAAAACATTTTATTTCCAAGCAGATTACAAAGAGCAGAGAATATAAGAGTAAAATTAAATTAAAAAAATAGTTGAGTGCATCTCTTTAAAATGATTTGTAGTGTGAGTTACTCACGGGGCAAAGCTACTGGAGAGTTCTGAAGGTCACTTTGCAGGATGCCAATCACATGTGCTGTTTAGACCTGGGTCAACACAGGAGGGACAGACAAGATGTATTTTGCATATAGGCTGCACACTCATTATCAAGCGAGGTTTTGGGCTGCAAGTGGACCCTGCCTTTTTGAGACATCCCCTCCACCTCATTCTCTCCTGCAGTTCCCTCGAGCTCTAGACATGGTTTATTGCTGCTGAAAGTGGGTTTAATCTGCCTTCCCTTTCTGATGAGCTCCAATGCCAAAGGAGAAGCAGGCAAACGTGTCTGCCATGCACAAGGTTACAGGGAACGTGACTGCAGTGCTAAGAGCAGAGCTTCAGCCACGCAGCAAAGGAAACCAACAAGCAGGGATACAGCAATCGCTTCAGAGATTTGGGGGAAGCGTGTCAGCAAGACTTCTGGAAGAATTGAGATGTTCCTTAAGGTAGGAAGAGGTATAAGCGAAGAAGGGCTCTTTCCTAAGCATTGGCACCAACGAAACAGAAGAGGCTGAATCATCAGGATAAGGTGCATTCCCTGTAATGTTTGAGAGGAGCAGCTCCAGCAATAAGATGGGGAGAAAAGCCCCATATAGGGTGGAAGACAGTTGATATCCCACTTTAACAGTGATTTAAGAGTCCAAGCACTAACCCCAAGTCAGTCAGTATTAAACTTGCCTAAGAATGTGGTTTGGCTGGACAGCTGCACAGCCATTCAGTGTCCAGCAGCACTCAGTCCAGCAAGAGGATAAGCAACTACAGTACCAGCGATCCTCCACCCCCTGTACACTCAGGAGGCTCTTTTCTACCATTTCTGGATCTGCTCTTATCACAGCATAGGAGTATTCGAGGCCTCATTCCTTCTATGTATGCCAAGGCAGACAGTAGCCCTGATGCAGCCGAGAACAAGACTGTCTTAATTTCTGCCCTAGCAGCAACAGTGCAGAAGAGGGTTTTATTTAGAAATCAGATTGTGTCCTTTTGTATTGTTCAAGGCAGAACAGTTTAGGAACTACTTCAGATCTTGTGGCCCCTCTGAAGTCCAGACCTCTATGGGAGAGGCAGCCAACAGGTGAGAGCCCAATGAAGTTCTTAGACCATTCCCTTTATAAACTGCTTTAGACAGGAGTGAAGAACCACTCTAGTCTGCTCTCCACTGCTTCAGCCATTACCACTTAAAGAGGAAATGCTTGACCTCTTGAAAGCAAATGAAAATCTAATGGTGCTGTGGACACTTGTAAGAGGCTATAAGTTTCCTAAAGAAAGCATCACTGTTAAATGTCAAGAGCTTGGACAATACATGAGTCTCATGTCAGAATGTGAGGTGCTTTACAACAGTCAGTCAGTCTCTGCTTTCTATGGTTCCTTTCATACCACAGTGACAAGATGGGCACAGTTCAAAATCAACAACACACAGTCTCCAGCTCGACTTCTCAGCTCTATTTATTTAGAGATTGATGCATTTTGAGCCTGTCTCGTACAAGGCATAGGGCACGGAGAGTTCCTGTCAATATATACACGCATACAAGAGCAGTACAAGCAGTTTGGCACTCTCAGAGCCAAGGGGGAATGCCCTTTAAGCAGCAGTCTAGCTGGTTACAGGAAAGTGTTAAAAAGCTATTTTACATGTAGTTTGACTGGGGAAATTTCCCAGAATGTGGACAGCAACCCTAAGCCACAGCACTCTTCTGTGCATGTCTTCCTACGAGCCCCTACAAGGGAGCAGATCATGTTCTTCACTATCAAAGAACATAGTATTTATATTCTAGAAATACTGTACCTTTTAAACTAGCTCCAGAGAGACAGACTAGAAGCCAGATCCAGGAAAATAATCCTTAAGTCACAGTATATCGATTGTCTCTAAAAATAGGGAATGAAGTGAACACAGTGGACATTCTGATGAGACAGTACAGAACAGTGCAGCAGTCCACTTCTGCATCAGCAGATCCTCTCCTATGTACATGCAGACAATGAGAAAGAAATGGAAACGCTCCAGTCCATCAGGACAAAACCAAGCATCAGGAGACCTCCACAGCTCACCGTGTGCCTAGTTTCCCTGTTCTTAACCAGTATCCTCCAAGGAGAACTCTTCCCCCTACAAAGACTTGACATCATTTTGTGTTTAAGAGTAATAAGGAAAGTGCACAACCTAGGATTTTAAGGTAACATGGAATTTTGTTTCCCCAGAAAGCTCAGCTAAAGTTCCTGTCAATGGTGAAAGGATCAGAAGTTTCTGACAGCTGAAGCAGTACTGGTGATCCCCAGAGCCACCCTACAATGGGGCAACTGCTGGCTCCCAGCAGACAAACTGAGGTCACAGTACTTGCTGCCAGCACTACACCCACCCTAGGCACTGTCTTCCCAGCTTACCCACTAGATCTGGGCAGTGATCCCAGGCTGTTTTCCTCTGGCCTAGTTCTGAGGGCAGACACTGAGCTAAGAGTCTAAAACAAAACAAAAGTGCATTGCTACTTCACCTCTCTGCACGCACCTACTTGAGCACAAAGTCATGTAGAGGGAACAAACTGCTCATACTGACACTAACTCACGCACACCTGCTTCCTCAGGAACACCAACATCAATATGAAGCATCAGGGGCTTGGGAAGTCTCTCTAAGCTGCACACCTCAACACTGCTCACAAGCACAAAGACAGGGAACATTGGCTACTCTCATCAATTTACACTCCTGCACAACCAACAGAGAGGGCAGACCTTCCTTCTCAATACAGATAGGTGCTGGACAACAGAGGCTTCAGGGAAGTTGCTTGCCTGTACACAAGTTTAAGTTCTTTTACTGTAATATATATCTAAATATTTATCTGTGTATTTTGGAACAGGGAAGGAACATGAGGGGGAGAAGCAGGGAAGACAAGTTCAAGAAGCAGAGTAATTTCTCTGCATCCAAGAAGCTGGTGGCACAAGTAACAAGCCTGGCAAGTGATCTCCCATTTCAAGCACAGTTGGCTACCTGCTGGCTTCAAAAGAGCAGACTATTTGTTAATGATATAAAATACAGCAACCATTTAAGATGCAGCAAGGCAAAGCTACAGGGCTGGGGATTATGATCATGAACGATGCCAAAAGCTACACAGCTGTGTTAAAAACTGTGAAAAGGCTGTTAAACAGCAGGAGTAAGCCATATGCTGCTCCTGGAAGGCCTTTTCCCTCCACTACTTCTCCATCACGCTGTTGTTGTGATGCATTTGAAAAGGTGGAAAGAGGGGGATTTGCCTAGGGGTAAAGCTACAGAACATTAGGACAGTCTGATCTGGTCTCACAGATTGCATGTTCCTAGCCTGGCACTGAGCTTCCATCAGCAAGCAGACATTCAGGTCTTTCTACAGAAGTGTATGCCCGTCTACCGTCATAAATTGTAGGGTGAAAGAAATCCAGCAGAGTTGAGCTGGAAAGCATGAACAGGGATGAAAACAACCAGTTTGCATACTGATCTTTGTATAATGACCCCCCCACCCTCACAGCTCACTCTTCCCCAAATAAAGACACATTGTTCAATGGCATGTTGAAAAGACGTGCTCGTCATTCTTAATAAACAACTAGAGTAAGAATACATAAGAGAAACAGGGTGGTATCTTTATATGATACACAAGTGTATGTTACAAGAATTCCATCAGGCACAGAAGCCTCAAGCTTTAAGGCCTCAATGTTAGGCCAAAAAAGAAGAGTGTGGTAAAGTTTGTACTTTTAACATCTAAAAATGTCACTTAAAGGTCTGAATAGAAATTGTTGGTTTGTTTTTTTGTATAAATCATAATTGCAGTTCACTCTCTCCTCTTTCTTCCAAGATAACAGCAAATTAATGTCCAAGCACAAGAAAAGAAGATGCCTGCCTCTCCTCCACTGGCTGAGCAGGTCCATCCATCATTCTGTGCCCTCTAGGCTGCACGTGCTCCAAGGAGACAGAGGCCCCAGCCAACCAGGCCAATCCTGTAGTTCAGGTTTTCTACATCATAAAAAAAGCCCAGAGTCAACCAGCAGCTCTCCACAGCTCCCAGCTCGCAGGGGATATGCAGCCTCCAATGGTTCCAACAGTTTGGTGTGTTGGGTAGGATACACAATGGGTAGGTTTTCCTTTAGATTCTTTTAAAGAGAAGAAGCCTAAAAGGGCTTCATAACTACACCATAAAAAACCAAAAACTTAGGCATCTCCTTTAGTGTAAAAGTCTGTACAATTTCTCTTTGCTTGTCCCTCCCCCATCACCCTGCCCCACCCCATCTGAGCCACGAAGGATGCCTTAGTGCATGGTGCTGGCATTAGCCACGGCAAGAGCTTCCTGAATCTCTCGTATCACCAGGATCCGGGTGAGCATCTGCTCCATCTGCTCTCTGCTGATCGGCTGGATGGAATACCAGATAGGGCTGTTGGGGGCCACCACTGGTTCCGGTGTCAAGTAAAATGTGTCATTCCGGCCTTTCACACTCTGGGGGCTGTGTGAGGAAGATCAGAAATAACCAGACTAACAAAATGTCCTGGAAGAGAGACACCACCACTGTCCTCACCCCAGGCTTCACAAATCCTGACAGTGAACATCTGGCTGATGACAAATGAAGGTACAGAGATAGATCTAGCAGCAAGATTCATTCCAAGGTTTTAGGACGTGCCAAGGTTAAAAAGCCTTGGTGAGGAGACTACAACAAAGTAGTTTTTATTTCAGGCTGGTAAGCATAACACACGCATGGCTTTAGAGGTTCTTCAGAGTGAAAAAAGGATGAGGTATTTTCACATTCAGGCTACCTGCAGATCCATCTTTTCAGATGAACCATTATATTAAATTACAGAATCACCATAATTTAGAGATGAGTCCTTTGAGGCATCCTCCAATCTCCATAGCAAGTCCTTATTTTTGTTCAGAAGCTGGTCTGAATAGGACCCTAATCCTATCTTCAGTAGTGGATGCTCCCAGATGACTTGCAACTCATAAGCAGTAGAACAAATTCACGTCAACACAGCAAATGTCCAAGATTAGGAGCAGCCAGTTCACAAATCAGGATTTGTCTCTTAAATACCCAAAAAACTCAATTTATATGCCATCAGAGTTAATCCCACTCTTTCACATCAACACCCCTCGCCATTTTAAGTAAATTTATGGAAATACAGAAATTGTGCCAGTGCTATCACACAACTTTGAAAACTAGGCCAGGCACAGGGTGCAGCTCCCCAGTCACAGAAGACAAGCACCATACACACAGACGAGAGCTCTCACCATTTGAAGAGGTAGAAGTCATACAGCTTTATCGGACACCTCAGGGGGTTCTCTGGATTCTCGGTCTGCTCTGCATACATGTCATCTGTAACTACAAACCAGCCCCCCAGAAGTCTGTCAGACACTCTGTGGAAGCACAGCACACCAAACAGTACCACAGAGCCTCAACACTGGAGCACCTTGTCACCATACAAGAGCTGGCAAGAGACATATGGCTGTTCCAGGGCAGAAGCACCTGGCTATAAATGCTTAAAAGCATCATGCAGAGCTTGCTTTATCCCAAGGCTATAGAAGATCACAACCCATCCATATCTTTCTTTCCATTTCTCCTCTACCAGTGTGCAAAATGAGGGAAATATCACTACTGAGACTGCAAAGTCTCAGTTACATCCTGTGCTTTTAAGAGGATAGACTGTACTTACATAGGAATTCTTATGAGTTCACATGAACCAAGGTAAGAGAAGCCCTCCCAAAGAATTTTCTCCATCTCTACATAAGCAATTACACCCAACAGTCTCTTTGCCCATTAAAAAAAGTAACAAAAACTTATCCTTAGTTCTTGATGAGTCCCACATGCCTCAGGTAAGGCATGTCCCCAGGGCTATGATTAGAAGGCACTGTCCTCTCTTGGATGGAGTGCATGGAAAACACATACTGCCAGGCTATAGGTAACTGGCAGAGCCTTGGATTCCCTACCTGCAAACATCTCCAGGTTCATCCACTTCTTCAAGCCCAAGTAAGTAAAATACTACCAAAGAAACTTCCTAGACACTACCTTTCTGTCCTGTCTGGTGCATGCCTGGAGCCTTCATATAGCGGATACTCGTGCTTTTATCCTTGGGATTAGAAGGGTTCTTCTTGGTCTGCCTCAGCACCTTGGAGAAGGCCAGCTTCATGTGCTGGTCTACTGTTTTCAACAGGAAGTATCTGAGCAGCAAGAACAGAACACAGAACATTCAGAGGCAAGCAAGGGACATAAGTCACAACAGCAAGGTCGTTATCTTTAGCCATCATGAGCAGACTGAACCTCAAACCAACCACTCGGCTAAGGACTCTTCCAGCAGCAAAGCATAGAAAAGCCACATGTTCAGTCTGCCCTCTGCTAGCTCACTCCCTTGTTATACTGTATCTTCTTTATCTTCCCTAAGACCTGAGTACTTACTTTGTATTAAAAAACATCAGTGTAGTGAGCAAGGTGGAAGGGGAGTGAGCTCCAAGCTGCTTACACTCCCACAGCATCTCTTCTGTTACATGACTGGAGAGGATGTAACCTGCAATAATCAGAAGTCAGCATCATGCCAGGGGACAGACACAACATAAGCACAGGCAGCATTTTACAGTCTGTAAGTACTGGAGAGCATATAAATCTCAACAGAAGGAAAAAGAGGATATTCTCACTAATGTCAAGATTCAGTGCTATGCAAATAACTTTTTAAATAGCAGGTACAGTTAGGAAATACTTGTACATATCCATCAACCTCTAGTTGTGGAAAGTATGTTTGTGCAACATGCCTACACATCCCAGCCCATAGAGAAAAGAATATGTACTTAAACAGCTTTTAATTATTGGCTTGACTCCAATGCAGATGCTTTTAATCCTATAATATGTGAGAGCAGGCAGGCCAGTGTAACAAATCAGTTCTTGGCCCTGAGCACAGCTTCAGTGAGCACACAGTGCCAAGTGATGTATTTGGACACGAGTAATCCTTTGATATTCCGATTTTTTTTCCCCTTTGTGTAGAAGAAAAATACTACACTCCAAATACACAGATAAACAGAAAAACAGACAGCAGTACAAACTCCGGGGCTTGTGGAATGTCAAAGCACTGATCAAACAGCCAGACTGAAAACAAAAGGATTCCAAAACTCATGGTGCCACTTAGCCATCTAGCCTGTAACATCAGCTACTTTACTGAACATAAGAATTAACTTCTTCACTCATGTCCAAACATATTAAAGGAAAAGAAGCAATGAGAAACCAGGTTTCCATGCTCTGAAAAAGCAATTTTTATCTAGTTCTCACACAGTGTTCTGTCAAAATTTGTCTCTTCTGGAACTGCCCTCCCCCCATCCCTGTTGCCATAATTTCCTAAACATAAGGTTGAGCTGCAACTGACTGCAGCACTGGAGGCTTTATTCACTCATTGTTTTTTCCTTTGACACTCAGTTGGTTCTGCTATCCATCTGGCTCCATGGCACTATGACAGTGCTGTATTATCTCCCAAAGAAACAATACATATTAGAGGCAGGATGTATTACCATTTCAGATGAGGAAACCTGATTCAAATCAAGGATCAGCTGGCTGCCAAGTAAGCCAATCTAATGACACTGTGAAGTCCCTACAATGTGCCTTCTGATTGGTGACAAGTGACAGACAAATAATGCTCAATGACAGTCAGGATTAGAGCCTGACAACTGCAGTAACCCCAGCATTCACTGCAAACATAACATTTTTCTCCCTGACCAGCATTAGCTAGCCTAGGGATATGACATACTTCAAAAGGGTTTCTATTCAGACTACACTCATGCTATAGGTTCAGTTTAAACATTCGAAGCTCTGGAAAGTTTTAAAGTTCTTACACAATAGCCCTTACCAAGAGGTGAAACACGAGGCTGTATGTCCTTAAGAACTTCATGCAGCCATTCAGTGAACCGAATATAGTAGAGATCTGAGAAGATGTCATCGACTCGGCCATTTTCAAAGAGATACTGTAAGAGATTCACAACACAGGCCAGTACAGTGGGAGTGGGTGTGTGCCTCAGACCAGACCTCATCCTAAGGGCCCACATCCTCAGCTGAACATTTTACAGCACAGCACTGAAGACTAATACAGTTTACTTAAAGAGTACTCTTGCACCAAGGTGAATACAGGGTAGGTAATCTCCATTACTATCATGGGAATGCCAAGAGAGAAAAAGGAAAAACTATCTTACAAAGTAAAGCTGATTGGATTTCACCTTTTGTTTCAGATGTGTTCACTTCTAGTTATTTCACATGAGTAGTGGACACTACTTTTTCAGGTTAACAACAAGGATGCTCAATTTCCCTGTCCAAGTATAGCTCTGTTTCTGCAGCTCTTCCAGAAAGCTTATACTTCCCATAGCACATACAGCTAAGTTCTTGCCTGTTAAACCTTCAACTAAATTTAAGTCTTGACATTGACAACTTCTTCAAACATCATCCAACCCTTCTCCCCCCATCAAAAAAAGTTAAATGGATTTATTATTTTCGCTATGATACTGAACACAGTTATTCACAAACTTAACTCACAGATTAAAGCATTGCTTGCACTAAGGACAGACAAGTCATCTGATGTTTTCAAGGTTTTTTAAGCAAAGAGACTTTTTTCTTATAAAATTGTTGAGAAGCTTAATAGAAGCTACAGTTTCTATTTTTATAACCAAGAGTCCCCTACACGTGCTGACAACATGGGCAGTTCTACAGCACATAGAGCTGTCCCATCCTACCTTCTGAATACACAGGAAGATATAGTAGAGCACATCTGGATCATAGGGTTCACCATCACCATTCCGAGCTTCTCGTGTCATTAAGCACAGACCATAATTCAGCTCAGCCACAGCTGAAGAGATGAGATCTTCCTGGAACCTCAGCAGCTGACGCCCTGGAAAAACAAAACAAAGCTATATTATTTAAGTGATAAAGGCATATTATTTCCTAACATTTCAGAAAACATTTTCCACATCTCCATTCTATCTGGCAGGCCTAGTACTACCTCATTCTCCCAGTATAGTAAAGCAAGTTGAAATAAATCCAGATCTTAGGCTGTCAGAAATACTAAAAGATAAAACAGGCAAGATTTTGATAGGAAGATCCTCTGCCCTACCAAATGCACGACTATTGCCTTCTTTCACCATGTCCCCAGTGAAATGCTGCCCTGCAGCAACAGGAAAACAGCAACTCCATGACTGTTCCACCATGGACAGACAGCTTGTCCATGCACGACAGCCATGCAGAGCCCTTTTCTATTGCTATCAGCCCAAGTGCTCAAGGGGGCTCAGCACAGAGCTAATACATGTCCTGTGGCAGTGGGAATACACAGTAATTCGTACTGCAGAGTAGATTAAAATTTATATTTAGGAAATCACTGATTAAACAAAAGAGTCTTCCAGAGCAGTAAACACATAACATATTAGTTATTCCTCATTCTACTTGAAAGAAAACGAAGGCCATATTGCCAACGACACTCACTTCCAATAGGTGCTAGTCTATTTTGGGCTTCTTTTTCCAGCTCTGCATTCTTGGTCTGTGCCCAGCTTTTCCACACTTCAAGACCTTCTTCTGGCTTCAGAGAGTTTGGAAGTAGAAGTTCAGGTGAAGTCTGCGGCTGTGGCTGTGGTTCAACTTCAGCAACCTGAACAGTTTGAGCCTATGAAAGAAAACTCTTCAGTTTATATACACACTTCAACATGCAACAGCTGGACAAAAACCAAGAATCCCACAATACCTGTAGCCCCAGGATACCAACCTTCTGCAACACTCCCAACAAGAAATTAATCCAAGGAATGTGACTTTTGCTGTCCAACCTGAATTGCTGCTCACAAAAGAATATTCTACACTCCAAAAGCTCTTTCAGTTTGAATGGACAGAGCTATCTTCAGCTCACTTGTCACTCTGAGCCGTCACTGAAGTCCATCTCACTACAAGAGCAGCCCACAGAGACCACCAGCCCCTGAACAGGAAGGTGCCACCAGCTTTACTCACCACTGCTGCTCCACACTGGACTGCCCTAAGGAAGGTCCTGGGTACAATCACATGCCATACACCATTGGCATCCCTCCCTATCCAGACTCTCTTCTTTAAGCAGTACATAACAGGCACACAGAATAAATACATTCTGTTCCTATCATAAATGATAAATAAGATTAATTCACTTGTAAAAGGTATAAAGCAGTAAGACTAGAACACAGCATCAAAACATCCACTCAATTTCAATGCAATATTCTCAAAATACCAAATATTACTAACGGGAACTAGCTACTATTGTGTGAAGACTGAATGATTTTTTACAGACCTAAGGCATCTCCAGACCCTTTTGAAACTTACTTTGCAGTGGGACCTTAGGTCACCAAGAATTTCGATCTCAAACAAACTTATTTGTCAGGCCACCAATAGCACCAATCTAAAACCCGCAGCAAGTCCTCCAGCTGCACTCACTCTGCATTCTTTGCTACAGGTTTTCAATTCTGTGCTACAGAGTCTCATAGCTACCACAATTAATACCTTTACAGACCTTGGTCAAACTCTCACTGGTACCCTGTATGTTACAGAAATAGCAATTCTTATATGAAAACAATTTTGCCTTTTCCTTCCTAAGAGCTACTCCAAAAAACAGCTTTTCCTTTGATATTGCTAAGTGTCAATATTAGTGGAAGTTCTTCTGACAATACTAGAGACCATGGCATACGAAAACAGCATGTAGACTTTAAATACCTGTACCTTACCTAGCATAAAAACCAACAGCTTAAGAGGCAAAGTCTGCAAGAGCCTCAGACCAGAGCCTTCTATCTCCCTCTGGCTGGCTTTTTATTCTCTGCATCAGCTCTTACTAGCTTTTTGCTTATCAACCCCTGCAAGCTTGTAGCACAGCTGCAGAGAGACTGACTGAAAAAGCCCAGCTTTAATCAAGGCAGATGGCAACAAAGTGTGAAGCAAAGCCTCTCTCTGCCTCAAAGAGTCCAAGGGTGAACTGACACCTTATCTTTGTAGTAGCCAGGACTGAGCCTTTGCTCTCCTCCACAGAGCTGCAATATTACTCTGCAGAGAGCTGAAAGTTTTCCAGAGACAACTCCATCAGCCCAATCCAAGGGACAGTCTTCTGCCCTAACCTCTCAGATACCTTTGTCCAGTGTGAAAGCTGGATACAGGCTGATTTAAATCTGCTGAACTGGCAAATGCTTCTTAACAAACTTATATTTTTCACAAACAGAGCAAAATTGCTGCAACTTGCCCAGATTCCCTAGAAGCATAATGCCAGAGGACAGCTCAGGGCAGGCAGTCAAATTCCTTCTCAGCTTCAGTTTGTAGAGGGTCAACTCCCAAAAGCGCGATATTGACTTCTAGTAGCTTTATTGCCTCCCCTAGAGAGATAGTACATTCCTCCTGGAATTGCCTATGTATTTAGAGTATTTTATTTTAAATACCTTACGTACCCTAAAGTACACTTGATCCGGGAAGTTTGCTCACAACTAGTCAGATTTTGATACTTTACTGGGGCACTGGATCTGCTGTGGACTCCATGTGCAACATAACATAAAGTAACTGATAATCACTAGTACATATTAGCACACCTTATTTGGCTGAAATTATCCCTGCCTGTCCACTGCAACCCCTGGAACAGCTCAGGAAAACACTGCAGATCTCGGAATACCTGCTATGTAGTCTGGCAATCAGTACGTATCTATTAATTTTTAACACTGAGATCAAAACTGTACTTTCTTTTGGAAAGTTTTGAATCCTATAACTATGTACCGACATTATCACATGAAAGTCTTATACCCATCAGGAGTGAAGTGCCCTATGTCACATTCAGGCTTCTGGGACAGATGCCTCTCTGCTTCACAGACACCAGCTGTCTGTTGGCATGCTCCCTCTCCAAAACATTTGTAAGTTGTTAATCACCAGCTGAGACTAATAGGCAGTTTTAACTTACTGAGCAAGTGACTTGTAGCTGCTGCTGCTGCCCCTGCTCTTGGGATGTGGGCTGCTGCTGTTGCTGCTGTGGGTCCCATATGTGCACTGTCTGTGCTGTATTCTGGTATGTCCCTGCCACAGCCTGCACTGCCACTGGAATGTGGATGTTGCCATTCATAAACTGTGCTGGAAAGATCGAGTTAGCAAGAGTCTGCACCACTTCCTCGTGAGAGTTCTTCACTACTGAAGTACTTCCCACCATCTTATCCTTGTCATCTTCCAGCTTCACTGTAGCCAGTGTTGTGGGTGAGCCACTGACGTGGACGGCATTGTAGGCCTCCTGAGGGATGGCAATGTGGGTTATGTTTTGCTGCTGAAGGTCACCACGTGGCTGAGCAGAGTAAACAGGGATGGTCCACGTCTCTCCAGTGGGGCTAGTAATGGTCCCAGTGGCACTGTACAGGTGGGCACTGTCCACTGTTAACAAGTCTGGCCTTAAAGAGACGTAACTTTGCTGCTGGCCCTGAGGAATGGCCAGCACTGTGGCAACTGGCTGCCCTGAAATAGCATACGATACAGTAATAGGCATATCCACTTTACGTTTCTTCACTGGCTGAAGGACACTCGCAGAGCTAATCCGCCTCTCTCCCTCTCGCGGGGAGCCTTGTTGAGAAGGTGGGGGTGACAGTGCCCCGACTGTCTGGATCTGGATCTGCTGGCCACCAGTAATGGCCTGTCCTGCCACAAGCTGAGCCTGGATCTGCTGGTGCTGTATGTGTTCCTCCTGTAGCTCTGCAGCCTGGATCTGCTGGGCAGTCTGCACGTGCTGCACTTGGATCTGAGCTGCCTGCAGCTGCGATGGGCTGGGGCTCTGAAGAGACTGACTCTGTATTGTCTGGGATGCCTGCTGCTGTGCCTGGCCTTGGATCTGCACTTGGACCTGTATTGGCTGCTCCGAAGCCTGATGGACAGAGAGCTGTGGAGAGAGCTGCTGGGCAGAGACCTGCTGCGGTGACTGCTGGACCTGGACCTGAACCTGCAACGACACCAAGCCACAGTTAGAGATCAGCAAACACCAGCGATTCAGCAGAGTGGTCTGACACTCATAGTGACAGAATGGTCTGTCACTATATTTCAGGTCTTTTACGCTCACTTTTCATTCCATGTATTAATTCATTAGTAAATATTTCAGGAAAATAAAACCAAGTTATTCTAGAAGTGCCTGGTTGGTAACAGTGATAAGCAGATGTGTTTGCTCAGCATTGCACATGACTCTCAGCACAGAGAGAACAGCACGTGAGCTACATCTCCACCCTCAAAGCTCTATGGGCTCAAGCCAACGGATTCCATCCTTGGAATCCAAGAATCTTCAAAGCTATTTGCATTGCTAAAATGTTACATTAGCACAGGTCTTGCAATACCAAGACTTAAAGATGATTCACATTACAATCACAGGAGCTTGCCTCATTCTTACCATGCTCTAAAGATTGTTCTACTGCTGCCCACCCCAGTCCCAAGATGGCCACAGGATCACTTGCTGGTGACAGGCAATAAGAAATATGGGTAAGTCAAAACCAGCACTTGGCTCTTTCCTCATAAAGCACAGGAATATTACTTGGAAGCCTATCATTAATAGTAACACTACTCAAGTGGGTGCCAACACATAATGTGGCAAGTTCAACCTCAATCTCTGTCATGCGTTAATGGCCTATGCTGCAGCATGTTTTGTAAACTCTAGAAGAATTTCTGTGGCAATGATAATTAAAACCAACCTTTTTTTCGTTATTTACTTATTCCATTTAATACCAGTTATTGTCCAAACTACTCAGTTGTATTTTCTAGCTCATGCACTTAGACAATGCTGAGTAACACAGACAAATCTGTTGACTTGATTCCCAACCAGTTCCTTTTATTTTAGAGGGAAAAAAAAAAAATCACACCCTCTCACATTAATGCTCATTTGTCCAAAGTCTGCCACAATACCTAGCAGCAGTCCAGCAGCACACTGAAAGGCAGCAGTCAAAGGCAGCCCCCTGCACAAATTTCAGGTCTCAATAGCTTCACATCCCTTTTCCAGACACTTCTCCACTTTTCCTCACATTTACACAGACAACTTGTTACATTTGCCTTGTCCTAGAAGCAATATCCCAGGTACACATGACCATCTGTTTCTCCAGGCTTCATTAACACTTTATCTTAAGGGAGTGAATTAATTACTCAACACCTCTTTCTGGAGCCAACACAGACTTATTTAGTTGCAAGACTAAATGTCTTCCTACTCACAGTTCTCTCACCTTTTTCTACCTCACTTCCTGGACCCAGACAGACTAAGGCAGCATTTGCACAGAGACAGCACACTAGTCAGCCTGACAATACCAGAAAGAACTACAACGCAGGCCTGCTGCGCACAAAATCTCACTTCCCAGCATCACTGCTAAGAAGTCTTGAAAAATGTTAAGGACCCATTTACAGCCAATTAAGAGTTGCCAAGGAAAAAACTGGGGTAGCAAAATGCACCACTGGCAGGCCAGATTTATTTATTTAACAGTCACCTCCTGTTAAGAATTAATTTATTTCCAGGAAGAACAGGGTATAGTTCCTTCTGGGAACTCTGTGCCGTATACTGTAATCCAGATGATGTGGTGACTCTGTAATAATTTCCTGCAAGGTAACAAGAAGCATGTGACCTTATGTCAGCATGACAGTTTAAAAAGCTGCATCAATTAGTGATTTGATCAGGCATTCAATTGAAAAAGATGAATTCACCTATGGGATGTTTCCTCAGCTCTATTTGATATTGTTCTGCCCTGGAGCATGAGTACTGCCTTGGGCAAACAGACCCAAACATGGATCCCAGGTAAGGGCTCAGTTTAAGAAAGTCAGTTGTAAACACACCCCTAAGGCAAGAATTCTCCAAAATACTTCACTTTAAAAATCACTAACATGGTCCTTACTATTAATTTAAATCCTTGTTCAGAAGATTACCTGCAAGGCAAAGGCCAAAGATTGAACAAATTACATGTTTTATTGCACTGGTATTTTCAGTCTCACACAAGAAACATTTGCTTTATCTGCTATGATTCAAAACAATGTTAAGAGGTAAATGCATCATTTGCCCTGTACCTCTGTAGTGTTTTCACAATTTCCACAGGTTGACTAAGAACACCTTAAAAGCACTTCCACCTTCTATTCATACAAAATTTCACATTACGGTTCCTGTGAGTGCTGTAACATATATAAAGGAAAGACTTTATTTTTGCTAGCAGTAAGAATTCAAAATCTCCTCCTGCACTGAAACAATTTTATCACATAAGCACAAGTAGAAAGGTAATGGAACTGGTTTAAGAAAGGCATTGTCAGCAAGAGGCACGGCCTAAGAACAAATGGAACAAGACAGCATTTGCTCCCTTCTGCTCTTGCAAACAGACTGTTTCAGTTTGAGGGGATCTCCACTGACCATCTAGTCCAACTGCCTGACCACTTCAGAGCTGACCATAAGCTACAGCATGTCATTCACAGCACTGCCTGAATGCTTCTTCACCAACCACTTCTCGAAAGCCTGTTCCAGAGGCCACTCTCTTGGTAAAGAAATGCTTCCTAATGTCCACGATAAACCTCCCCTGGCACAGCTTTGAGACATTAACCATTCCAGAGCCTGAGCCTACAGTGTTCGAAAGTCAGCAGCAACTTCACCACTTTCAACAGATGAGCAGTCACGCCCTGAGGCCCTTCAAAACTCCCCCAGGACTAAATCCTAACTCCTACAACAGGGATGTCTTACTACTGCTTTAGAGTCCACCCTGCTATTGTTAACACCCAAAGAATGAGTCCAGACCCAAACAATATGAAGTTAAACACCAGAATCACTTGAAGCTCTCCATGTTCCAAACTGCAGACATCATGTTTCTGACTAGAGAGTGGTTCTATTAAAAAAGATACTGGAGCTCTACCTACCACGCATTATGCATCCCCTGTGAATTACATATCCATTTTTAACAACTGTATCTTGAAGTAGATCCCTCCCTATTTTCAAGTAGGTAGTATCCAGGAGTGCTACAAGCATCCATTTCAAATTTACAGGCTTTAATCTAGTCTGAGATCAAAGGCTTCTTATATTGACCTCATTGTCCTTTTTTTCCTCAGATAGCAAGTTAGACAAAGAATTACACTCAGCAGCAGACTTTGTAAGAGACTCTGTACAAAGGGGAATGTTTTAAACTTACAGGCCAAGACCAACAGGGGACTTTAAATCTTCATTTAATGCTGAAAATTAAAGCAAAAACATGTTATGCTGGCGATTCCTGGGTTACTGGTGCAAGAAAGGAACATGTCAAGTTACCAGTGCTGAAATACAATTTATTGCCAAAAGTTTGGATACAACAGCATGAAAGAACCACCTCCCAGCAGGGTACCATGACACAGAGAAACGCCTTTTCACTATAAAGTAGCTGGAATCTGGATCAAGTACCAGCTGCTTAGAAAACCAAAAGTGCTAGAAATCAACCTTGTATTGTAACAGGAGAGCAGAACTAAATTCCCCTAAAGGAAATCTTCTGTCACATCAAGCCCAAAAACATATTCTGTCCTGAAATGAGCAAATGCAAAGACTAAATAAATAACCCCAGGACCATGAGAACATCTGAAGCCTGGTTGCCACAACTTTTTTTCCTAATGGTTGATAGACAAACTTTCAAGTAGGAATCATAACATGTCTGCCCTGTGTGGATTCTCTGCCCAAAAAGGAATCAGACTCAGTTCTTAAACAACTGAGATTTTCTTTGCTTGTTAATTCTTTCATCTGCAGACTGACTGGATTATCTAATATTTCCTAAAACCTAACTCTAAACAAGTACACAGAGCAACTCTTTCCTGCATGGATTTTTTGATATGTAGCTTTTCCTAGAGCACCTGACAGGCTCTTAAATGCAACTTTTCACAAAGAGATCTTGGTTTCCGAAGCTGTATTTAAACCAGCAAGCAGTAGCACACACCAAGAGCAGATCTCCAGAGCAAGACTGCAGACGTACTAACATGTCCATAATATAGCTTCCAGAAGACTATTTCAAATTTAGTTCTAGTCTTGCTCACCAGTCAAGTTTAACAACACCAAAACACAACACTGCATCTTACAGCTTAGTTTCATCTGGAGGGAATCTCAAATGACAGGCACCAAACCTACAAGAGGTAAGAAGGCTTCGGCAGGTGGCCAACTTGCTGTGGGAACTATGCTCCAAAAGCCCCCAGAAGTAATGTGGGCACATCTCAAACTTCCCAAGTAAAGTCAAATACCTGGGAAAAAAGTTAGTAAGAGCATGAGAAGAATAATGTCAGTTTTTTTAGCCTAATTTAAGGACAGAAGACTTAAAATATAGTTCCCTCAACAGCAGTCCTAAGCTAAAGCATGTCCAGCACTAAAAACTAACACTGTAAAAAAGAGTTCCTTCTAAAGTTACACCAGAAAGTACAAGCAAGTACAAAAGAGATATGAAAAGTGTGAGTGAAGAGTAAGTGAAAAGACTGATCAGTGAAGTACCAGGAAATGTCAGAACGTGTTATTTAACTACTTTACAGGAAGTCCTTTGCTATCTAAGTAAACAAGGTCTATGGGAAGGGTGCGAGTCAGCTTTTCAGAACAACTGCCAGACTGACTCTCACTCCAGCTTTTTCCTCTGCTCATTCATCAACATCAGAGAGAGAATTCCATCAGCTAAATTAGGCCTTGGGTGTGTTTAAACAGTTACACTATCAAGATTATGCTGCCAAGCTGTACACTGGGGAGGGATTTAGGTCTAAGGCAGTTAAAAGACATGAACGAAGGAAAAAACAGTTTACCTCTCCAACAGAAGGGTACTTCCATATACAAGTAGATGCTACCTTGAAAACACCACTCTTGACTACAACCACTCTTTGAATTGTCCCACTCAGCCCTAGCAAATGCTAATTAATACCTGACGCTACACTAAAATCATACTGGTATGTTTTTCAAACATAACCAAATAGGAACTCTACCTCCAAGCTAAACTTCACAACCAGTACAGAGGCAGGAGGAAGGTACACCCATCAGAAGCAAAGGAAAGATGCATTCTGTGCAGAGCCAGAGATAAGACTTTTTTCTAAGCTATTTAAGGACATCTTTCCCTGCCTTATGTCATTAATAATGTCCAGCCTCCTATAAAGGTCTGAAGTCACAGAATAGACTGAATAGTAAGCACATAAGGAATTGAGCAATTAGAAAGGCACAAGTATCAACTGAAAGATATTTTACACAGGCATTCAACCATTCCCCATACAGTTTTGTGATCTTGCCCACATGTAGCAAACTCCCTTCAAGCCCTGCCCAAGAAAATCTTGCCACCTAGACATCAGACAGTTCATAAGAAGCTGAAACAGAGGATTTTCTCCACACACACCATAAACAAAGATACTTTCTGTCCTCTGATATTCTTCCAGTTAAAGCTTCCTGGGTAAGAGGCACAAGAGGTTTGCTGACCTCTGCAAAGTACCATATTTGGGAAGCAAGCCAGCACTAAACACCTCACTGACATCATCAATTTCATGGCCTCTATGCACAGGACCAACAAGCAACAATCTCACCAAAAGCAAAGCTGATAAAACTCTTACTTGACTGAAGCAAAATACAGACCTTCCCTGCCACTCCCTGATGCACAACAAGGTACGACAACTTGATATACTAAAGTCGTTCTTAAGGTCACTTGTGGCATCCCTGTGATAGTGGGTGTGGAAGGAGCTCCAGGACACTTAACTGTAGCAATGGCAGTGTACATAACCCAACAGTTGCATCCACTCATACTGTAAAATAATCATTTGATAAGACTTTGTTGAGACTTTTAGGTAAGAAAACCTTAAGGTGACAACTTCTTCAAAGAGAAAATTTATTTTTCTATAATAAATAAAACAGCAAGCAGTCACACTCTGTCTTTAGTTGTTCACAGCAAGTAAAATCCAGGATGAAACCTGAGAACTATCTCTGTGATTGTAAGATCATCATCACCAATTTCAACTCTGAGGTCATCTGACTGGTCATACTGTTAGTCACCCCCAGAAGCACTGTCACACTGCCAGACATAAGCATAGGCCTTCAAAGGGTCTTCCACTGACTTGTAATTGGATTAGCAAGAACTAAACAGATTACCAATTCAAGTACTCAAAAGCTAAGAGGCTTCAGCAGATGACCAAAATTCATCATAATACAACACAAGCAGTATTTTGGCACAGGGCGCCAGCTGGACCAGGTGCACGGCTATGGTGGAACACTGTCACTCCCCAGCGTCACAACAAAACCCAGCTTTATCCAGAAGATGAGCTCTGCCACTGCGACAGTGACAGTGCAGAGATGAGTGAACACTAAATCATGAGTTTAACATAAATTATGTCTCAATAAGAAATCCTGAAATACGGAAAAATACTCTTGCAAAGGGGTAACCACATTCTTCTCCACTCTATTCTTGCAGAAAAACTAAGATAATTCTGAGCTAGCTGCTCAAATACAACTGAGTTCAGCTGCTCTGCTGATACACAAAAGCTGCAGCCACATCTAGTACCAAACGTGCCACCTAAAGTCAGCAGCACAGTAGGCAATACAAATAATAATGATGATCCGTACAGATGGGAAAGCAGGCATCTAAAAGCAAGGGGACATAAACAAGGAGAAGAGAGTAGACAGCATTCTTCAGGAAAGTTGCTGAAATCTTAATATTCATTAGCAGCTTTTCATATTTAGGGTGCAGGTCATTCAGTTCCAAAATCAGGAACTGGTCTCTGGCAGGAACTCTATGCTTATTTACAAGAAGGTCAGGTTATTTTTCTCTGGAGCATAAGATATATGACCTCCCTCCCCATCTCTGTTACTAAAAGATTCGCAAGGGTCAAGCCTGAACATTGGGTAGTTCTGAAATGAGGCAGCAAAAGTGAGAGGGAAAAAAAAAAGATTCTTTTTGACTTTCACAATTGGTTTGGGGGCTTTCCACATCTTCAAGGCTGAGGCACTCAAAAGCCAACCCTCCCAGCTCTTCTGCTGCAAAAAAAACTTCTTCCAGAAAACACACTAGCTGGCAAAACCAAAGCCACTCTTGATCAGTTTTAATAGCCTCGTACAGAGATCCAAGTCATGCCTGAAAGACCAGGTTTTTGTTCTTCAAAAGCCTTTCAACACAAGTCACTGTAGGGCAACAGGTTACAGAAGTCCCAGTTAAGCATTCATTTACTCAATAGAGAGTAACTGGAGACGAGTTACCAGTGAAGGAGTTTTGTCTTTGCTGTAGGATAAAAACACACAAGTGAGCTGTTGACACAAGTCTACTACGCTGCAGCAAGCACACACTACCTGATCTCCAGTCACTTGTGACTCCATAGCCTTATCGTAAAAAAAAAAAAAATTTAAAAAATAAAGTTTGTAGCTTTACCTTCTGCTACAGAAACTGAAACCAGAAAGATTCATATCTCAAGTGTATCAGAATTACAGCTATAGACAGATTTCAGCTGTTTAGAGACATATCATAAAAAACTTTAGTAAATGCCCTGCCACCTATGAACTCCTCAAATTACAAAATGTATATTAAGACAAAAGCAGTTTCCTAAGTTATAAAATTGGGGTTTTTTTTTTCCTCTGATAGTGGATTCGCTTTAATACTTAATAAAATAACTAATGTAATACCTACTTTAAAAAAATCAAAACAAAGAAGACAACTCCTACTGTGCAAGCATATACTCTACCTTGATGCATATGCATCCTTTAGAATTCCTTTCCAGAAACTTATCTTCCCCTGGCTCATATCCTAAAGTTGACTCTCTTGCATTTCCCCCTCACTTAAAAGTCAGTTCAAGAACAACATTTAGAATGTTCAAGTAAAACTATTTAAAGATTACTGATTTTATTAAGGAAAAAAAAAAGTCTTTAAGGCAAGCTTCATCCCACAGCCACCCTGAACAATCAGTCAGAGGGATCTGGTATTTATAGCAGCTTCAGAGCACAAGGCTTCTGGAGTTGTGTATATGCCAGAACTGTTTCTCCAATAGGTGACACCACTCCATTGCTATGTGTGCGGCTCCTCCTACAGCAGGGCTCGAGGGAGGCACAGTCAAGAGAGCAAATTTACTACCAAATTCTTTAAATGAAAGGGAAATATTGTTGGTCTACATGAAGTTAATTGGCCCTGCCTCTTATGCACTTGTCTGAGGCTTAAGGTTAGACAGCAGCTCTGAATACTACTCCATCGGTTAGCAAGTCATATATACAATAATTCAAATATTATTTCAGATGCTTACCTGGACTTGCTGGGGTTGCTGAACCTGTATCTGCTGCTCTGGCTGAGTTTGTTGCTGGATACTGGTTGTCACAGGACAAGCAAGTTCAAGCAAAGACCCAGCCACCTCTGTGCTGTCCGTGTAAATACAGTTGCCACCCTGCTGATACACCATTGTGGTGGTGGCTGTCTGTTGAAACTCCTGGAGAGCTTCTGGCCCCTTGGAAGCAAGGGAGTCTAGAAACTCCTTCATCCTGTGCTGGGGGATCGTTCGTGCCTTCACACGGATGTATTCTTCAAAGGAAATGGTGTTCTCCAGAGAATTATTCATATTGCAAGGTCCTCAGGGTTCCTTAAGGAAAGAGAAAGTAAAAGTCTTAACTACAGCACTCCCTTGATGCAAGGATATTCTTAACTCCAGTAACTAATCTCTCATACCAAGTACTGTATGAAAACTGGCAAACATGCACAGCCAGATGCCCAAGACAGATGCTTTACTTTTATGAGGCATTTTGTGCTACTACACATCTCTCAGATTCACCCTTGGCAGCTCAGGGGAGTCTGAATGACACCCAGGTGTGATTCCTCCTCCACCCAGAGCTCACTGCCATGTAAACTCTCCTAGCTCTGTACTTCACCCAGACCAGGCAAGCCCTGTACCAGACAAATCCACTCATACATTCCATTTGTCTGCAGCATGCACTGTTAGCAAGAGAGGCTTAGAAATCAATATCTGCGGCCCTGCTTTGCAGCCGCAGAGGTGGGAAACCAAGCAGTGTGTTCTATCAGGCCGTGCAGTTCTATTCTAGGCAGCTAATGTGAAGCACAACAGAAGAGCAACAGATGTAGCACTCAGCTCTTTGCTATTAGGAGTAGGACAGCCCCATCGATTTGAACATAGCAAGCAAAAGGAGAGCGCTAGAATAGAGATATTTCCTCAAACTGGGAACTACACACATGGAGAAACAGAGCTCTGCAAATGACAAAGGCAACTGCAGCATCAGTTCTTGATGTCCTTTTAATGTAGGAAGAGGTTAACATGAAACATGCCATGTGTGAAGACAACAGAAAGACAGAAAAAGAAAAGATGATCAGGGCGGAAGTGAAAGCAAAGAAAAAAACCACCACGACCAAAGATAACTCCACCTGAGAACGTCAGACAGCTCTAGGGTATACTCTGACAGCATTCTTCTCTTATTGACTTGTCTTGTTTAAACCCACCAATTGTTTTTGCAGTGAGTATACTGGTTGTTTTCAAGGCACTAATTAGCCTTGATAGAGCATAAATACATTTGAGCTGTAACATCACCAGATACTGAGACAGGTGTGAAAAGATGTGAAACACCACAAGATCAGGACTAGAAGAGGTGATTCAGCACTACTAGATCAAGCTGCATAAAGGAGGAAAAACAGACAGACATCACTATGACTGTAGGTCTAAAGAGAGCAGGTACAAACCAGAGCTTGATGTATCCTTTCACCATGATTTAACAAAATAGAACTGAGACAGGGCTATGACTGAACATAAGACTGCCCTGTGGGAAAATGGGAGTTAACTCCAAACTTTCACTGTCATTCAAGCACACTGTACAAGTCCAGTGCCACTTATCACCAAAAGCTGGGAGAGCTGAAGCAAATGCTAACCCCTCTTCACTGTAATGTGACAGCAGTCCAAACAGAGCTTTTGTTTACATGGAGGTTCATGGCTAGTGCACTGGAGCAAGCTCACAAAAGAAAAAAAAAAACCAAAAAACTAATATCAAAGGTAACAGGAACACACATGAGGCAACTTGTGCTCTAGCTATGGTTTCTGAAGTCTTTAAGACACATTTGTTGCTGTATGAGATTTCTATAAAAAATATTCTTAAAATATGCAGCAATGCAGCATGTTTAGTAAAAAACACCAGATAATGGTGTTCACATAGCATATCCAACAGCTCTGCAAATATCAGCATACAGATATCTATGTAGAACCCATATCTGGACAGAAAAACTCACTTCTCCAGGAGCTACTCAAGAGTACTCTACATCTCCACAGCACTAACCCCTTCCCAGTGACCATAGGCCCAGGGTAAAACCGAGGAAGACCAACAATGTTAATGCATCCATAGGGACTCAGGACTCAGATAAGACCTACAGCAGGCACACTGAAATGTGTTTTGCATCTAACTGCATGATGCTCTATTATATATCCTGAGGCTGGAAAATAGATTTTGAGCAATTAACTTGTCCCAGTCTTCTATTTGGAACTTTCAACTATTTGACTTCAATATTACAGTGAGGCTTTCAGAAGAGCATCATCATTCTCCAGGTCCACCCTGAGGTGCACTAGCAGACACAGCTTTGAGAGGGAAGACTCTTGGGAAGAATAAGCCTCAACGATGCCATGCTGGGTCCCAGACATGAATGCCACAGATGTTCTTTAACAGCAGGATTCCAGACATAAGTGCCACAGATGCTCTTTGACAGCCAGCTGCTGCTGAATTGGATGGGCTCACTTCTCCCAGGTGCTCCCTTCCCACTCCTGCATTGGTTTTTAGTATGTTCTAACAACTCAGGAAATGGCTATCCACCTTCTGTTAATCTTATCAAAGGAGAGAATAAGGAGGTCAGCAGGGCCACTGTTCCCAATGGGAACTGTTAGCCCTCACTTCTACTTTTGAAACTCCAACCCTTCTTTCACAAGCTACATCATTTTCCTGTGTAAGAGACCAGAAGCCACAAGACACCCAGAAGCACAAGCAGCAGAGGTCCACCACCAAACCATCACCAACCTCTTCTGACCACCAAGCAAGCACTGATTTCTTAAATACAAATCTTAAAGCAAGCACTGAAGAAATCTCTTTCCTTTTGTCTACCATGGAAAAAAAAATCCTTTACACTTTCTTGAAGTTACTATGCTAGGAGCCACTAAGCTGAGCTCCTGCAGCATTCCACGTGCCAGGCATGGACCAGAGCCCCACCATGCCATGAGGCATCTGCTCCTGCCTCAGAAGAGACACAAGACCTTCCCCGGGTTTTCTCTGCAGCTGCAGTTACAGACCTTGTAGGTAACAGCGTCTCCTGGAGTTGTTCATATCAGTTTTAAGGCTGCTTAAGATTATTTAACTAGAAATACTGAACCACTCAAAATTGCACTTCCTACTGCACTACCCCTATGCAGCAGTGGAGGTACCAACTCCAGAGAAAGATTCATAAATGTAATGCTGCACCCCCAGAAATTCTACTTATTAAAATTAAACCAACCTGCATTTGTGGCAGAAAACCTCTGTAAGGCTCTAGGGCACATTCAACAGGCTTTTGTAGGTTAACACATACAGCTTGCTGCTGCAGTCACTGTTTTCAGTTATTAAAACACACTAATTTGTACATTCCATTTATCCCACAGACACACACTGGAAACTGCAGATGTCCACCCTCACTGGATCTCAGCAGCATGTTTTTAATATTGCATTTAAAAATTAAAAAAGAGCATCCAGGCAATAAGTTTCTCCAATAAAGGAAGATAACTCCTCTCTGTGCAGCATAACTGCATTTTTTTCCAAGAAGTAAGTTCAAGAAATTCTTTGAAGATTAGGAGCACATACGGTTAGTTGATAAAACTTAGACTGAAGTTACTGAAAACACACACACAACTTGCAGCATGTGGACAATCTGGACTCACCAGTCACCATGTTGCATGTATTTCTGCTGCTCTTGTCCTGAGCTCTTAGACTTGTAACGTTCTGGAGAAGACAGAACAAAGAAGCCCTTTCCATCCCCAGTTTCTCTTTCTTTATTAAGTCATTTTATTTTTAATATGTATTCCATTAAGAAAAAAAAATGAGGAAACAAAGGTATGATCATCCACGCAGCTAGCAGCTCCTACTGAGGAATTGCAAGATGCCCAATTTCTAACCATCGTATCGCTCAGCCTGGTGGTACTGAGAGCGACTGTGCGAGCACATCTGTCACAGAGCGCCGTGCGGCGACAGGCGCGGCATGGTGGGTAACACCGGAGTTACTGGCACACAGAACTTAGAACAAGGCAGCAGCAGCAGTGACCGCATCCAGAAGCAATCCCCCCACCCCTCCCCCGCAGGCGTTCCCGGTGCTGCCCGAGAGACAGGCGGGAAGGCTACGGACCGCTCGGCCACACAGCCAAGACGAGGCGAAGCTTCGTATTTAGGCCCCGAGACCGTCGGCTGCAGCCAGCCTCTGTCCTGCCCGAGCGGGGACGCGGAGCCCGTGGGGTTTACCCCGCCCGCGGGGACCCGGCACTGCCCCAGCCGCTCCTGCCGCCTTTGTCTGCCGGCGGGGCGGCCGGGCCGGGCCCGCAGGCGGCGCCGTGACACCGCCTCCCCCGCCCCCCCCGGCAGGAGCCATGTCGGGGGCTCCGGGAGGACGGGGCCGCCGAGGGCCGCGCACAGGCCGCGCCTTCCGGTGCCTCGCTGCTCGGGCCGGGGGGGGCGACGGGAACGCGCCCGGTGCGCGGGGGGGAAGAGCCGGGGGCGCGCCCGCGCGGGCCGGGAAAGCGCGCGCGCGCGCGGCAGGCGGGGCCGCCCCCTCCCCCTCCCCGCCGGGCCCGCGCCGCCCCCGGAACCGCCGCCTCCTCCTCCCGCGCCCCAAGGGGGGTCCCACCCAGCCCCACCGCCGCCGCGCACTACCCCGGCCCGCCGGCCCGGCTGCGCCGCGGCGTGACCCGGCCCCGCCTCACCCCGGCCCTGTCGCCGCCGCCGCCTCGGCCCCGAGTCTTTTCCCCTCACAGCTCCCTGGGCGCCATCTTACATTCAACCCCCTGCAGCCAATCAGCGCGCTGCACCAGCCTCGCGAGAGCGCGGCTCCCAAGCCCCGCGAGAGCTGAGCTCCTCGGCCCGCCCCGCGCCTTAAAGGGGCCTGGCCACGGCGGGGCGGGGGAGGCTGCGGCCGCTGGGGGGCGCCCTGCGCGGGGGGGCGCGGGGACGCGCAGGAGGCGGGGGACACACGGCGGGACCGGGACACGGAGGGACAGGGACCGGACACGGAGGGACCGGGACGGAGCCCGGGCAGCCGGGCTACCCGGGATGCCAGCAGCACCGCCTGGCCGCGGAGCGACGCCGCCGAGAGGCTCCAGCAGCCGCCCGCTCCCTCGCGGCATGCGGGTGCAGCCCGGCCCCATCCCCGCGCAGCGCCGGGGGCAGGCTCCGTGTGGGGCCCGTGTGGGGCCGGCCGGCGGTGCACGGGCTCCCCGGGACGGGCGGGGAGGCCGTGCGGAGGGGCTGCGCCCTGCCCCGGCGGCACCGCGCAGAGAAGCGTCCCCATGGAGGCGGAGGAGGCCCCGCGGGACTGTGCCGGCTCCGCTTTAACGCGCCCATGTGTTCGCCGCGGCCTCCCCAGCCCCGGCCCCGCTTAAGGTGGCCCGTGGGGCTGGGCAGGGTCTCTCTCCACTCACTTCAGCTCCAGGGGCACAGACACGGGGCTCATGGCACGGGGTTCGTGCCAATTCCGCGGGGACACCCCTCTGACCCCCAGCCCGGAGCCGAGCAGGCAGCACCCCGCTCGAGTCCACCTTAAGGGGGGAGGGCGCTCCGGCGGTGTTTGTACACAACGTGCACACCCTGCCTGCACCCCCTGTGCCCTGCCTGCGCCGTCCTGCACATCCCCTGCACTCACCTCTCCTGCCTGCACCGCACCTGCACCCCCGGAGACACCTCTCCATTCCACTCCAACACCCTAGACCCCAGTCCAACCTTACTGGCTGGGGCAGCTGCAGCTCCCATGGGGTCACATCAGTGCTACACAGCACATAGGAGCAGCCTCTGTGCCCTCAAAACAGGGAGACACCCCACACACACCCTGCCAACCCAAGGCTCATCAGGGGGACAAACAGGAGACCATCCCCTCCACAGCACCCCAAGACTGAGCAGGAGAACAGGAGGCAGTGACAGTGCGGGGACAGGGCTGGGCTCTCCATTTATTGAGGCAATGCTGTGGGGCACCCCAGGGGACAGCACCAAGGCACGGTGGCACTGGGGGTGTGCAAGAACCCCCAAGGAAGCAACACCACGATGGTGTAGCAGCAGTGGGTCCCTCAGGCCTTGCCAGGGTCCTCCTTGAGCGTCACTGTCCGGTTGAACACCATCTGGGGAGAAACAGAGGGTCTGCTCAGAGCCCCATGGCAGGCACAGGGTGCTTGCACACATGTGTGCAGGCTGCCTGACTGCCCCATCCCACAGGGCTCACCTTCCCCTCCTCACTGTCGGGATCCACAGAGAAGTAGCCCAGGCGCTCAAACTGGAACTTGTCAAAGGGTCGAGCGGAGCGGACAGAGCTGTCGACCAGGGCATTGTGCACCACATGCAGGGAGTCCTGGCAGAGGGGACAGCTCAGCCTACCCTTCTGTCCTCTCCACAGCCCAGCTCCCCTCAGCTCCTCTTCCCCTTGAGACACAGCAAGGCCTTGCCCCAGGAGGGGTAGGGTGTACATGGAAGTGGGTGCCTCAGGACTGGGTGCAGGAGGTCCCCACTTCCCTGTGGGCCCATAACCTCAGCTGCTGCCCCTACTCACAGGGTTGAGGTCACTCAGAAAGCCACCAGGTACCTCCGATGGGTCCTCAGGATTTTTGTGCAAAAACCTGCCATGAGATAAGAGTCTTATCCCAAAGTTGCCAAATGAGAGGACACGGTGCCACTCATGGGACCCCAGAGCATCATCTTCCCCACCAAAGGCCTGGGCAGACCCCTGCAGGGCCTGCTGCTGTACAGCTGTGCTGTTGCTCCAGCACTGCTGAGCTTGTGCTGGCCTCGGTTGGCAGCCAGATACTCACAGCCGCTCGTAGAGCCGCACTTCACAGGCCAGGGGCACCGAGACCCAGTGGATGAAAGCCTTGGGCTTTTCTGCCACATCCGACTTGGTGCAGGTCACTTCCAGCTCAATGACACGGCCACTGACATCCTGAGGGAGAGGAGATGAGCTGTCAGGCTTATCCCATATGGCAGGCCCAGGGCTGAACCCCCAGCCCCATCTCGGGGACACCTTGTTCCCCACTGTGAGGCACAGGGCAGGCAGAGAGCAGCCACACAGGCAGCCTGAGCCCTCACTGTGCCCAGAGCGTCCAGCATGAGATGACCATTGCTGCTCTTCCCTGCTGGGGCATGGTCATGTCCTGACATTCCACAGCCCAACCCCGTGTCACCAGTGCCCACAGCCACGCACCTTGATGACATTCTGGACAGTGATGACGTAGCCAGTGTGGCGCAGCCCCACCGGCTGCCCGGGGGCCAGGCGCTTGTAGCCCTTGTCTGCCTCCTGTAAGAGAGTTCACGGCTGCATGAGGGGCCCCAGCATGGGCAGCAAGTCCCCCCTCTTGCATATCTCTCTGCCCCCACTCCTGCCATCCCAGGGATCAGTGATCCCAGGGCTGTTTGAACTCCATGTTGCTGTGAGATGTTCCCAAGGACAGGCCAGGTTGAGAAACATTGGTTGGACATGTCCTGGCCAGGCTAAGGGCAGCATTTGCCCAGTGCTCTTCAGAGCTGCTGGCCCATTTAGGAGTCACATACATGTGTTCAACACCCGCCTGTGACCTCTGTGTGCAGCACCAACACCACCTGCAGTGCTGCCAGGCTCCTGCTGCACAAGCTATAGCTCCAGCAGTGAGGGTAGTATAGTCCAGTGGGCCTGGCTCACCTCCCTGAAGTCTGTCTCCTCAATGTAGACAGTCTGGTGGAAGGGCACTTTGTGAAAACCACGGCTCTCATCGGCTGGAAAGTTGGGCACAAGGACCTCCAGTGCCTGGAGAGAAAGAGGGCGTGAATGCCAATCTCAAGGAACCCCACTCCCACAACAGCCCACGGCAGTCTCACCTTTGGAGCAGGGAAGTTGGTGATGGTGACCTTGAGAGGCTCCAGGACAGCCATGGCGCGGGGGGCCTGCTCATTCAGCACCTCACGTGCACAAGCCTCCAGCAGATGCGGCTCCATTGTCGCCTGGGCCACTGTCACACCAACCTGAGGAACAGTGTGCTGTGACCGTGCTGGCCAGGGGACGCAGCCATCTGCCCTGTCCCATCCTACCCGAGGCTTACCCGTGCACAAAAGTTGTTGATGGCCTCGGGGGGGAAGCCTCGCCGGCGCAGGGCTGTCAGCGTGAAGAGACGTGGGTCATCCCAGTCCCTGAGGAAACACCAGTGTGACAACCAGGCATGATCTGGGTGAGCACCATCGTGGCAGCTGGCCCTGCTCCTACCTCACAGCACCTGTCTCCACCAGCCGGATGATCTTTCTCTTGGAGACGACGGTGTAGAGCAGGTTCAGGCGCCCATATTCCCACTGCACAGGGCAGTAAACATCCAGAGCATTGCACAGCCAGAAGTAGGAGGAGCGCCTGCAAGGGAGGTACAGGCCCAGCCCAGCTCAGCCACGTGGATGTGCTGCCCCCCAGCACTCTGGCAGCCACCAGCTGCTGCTCCCAGGTTCAGCTCAGCCCTGGGCCATGCCATGCATGGTGCTCACCTGGCCTGGAACTCCTTGGTGCAGAGGGAGTGCGTGATGTGCTCGATGGAGTCGCAGAGGCAGTGTGTGTAGTCGTACGTGGGGTAGATGCACCTGCAAGGCAAATGCAGTCGGCTCAGGGCAGAGCACAGTGCTGCTCCACTCCTGACACCTCCTTACTACCAGGAAATCCAGACCCACCCCCACCATATGTGCCAGGACATGGTAGGCCCTCCCTACCACTTGTCCCCAGTGCGGTGGTGTGGTGTGAACTTGACACGGTAGGCGACGGGATCCATCTTCCCATCCTCCATCACCAGCTTCATCCTCAGCGTGGCTTCCCCCTCCCCAAACTTGCCCTTTCTCATGTCCTGTGGAGAGAGGGGAAACTGTCAGCTGAGCCACAGATCCAGAGCCCACAGGCACGTAGCACCTGCCCCAACCAGGGTACCTCAAAGAGCAGGAGTGACTCCTCCACAGGCCGGTCCCTCCACGGCGAGGGTGGTGG